ATCCTAGGAGAGGCAGGCAAGCAAGAAATTTTACAACAAATGTTCCGAAAATTCTAGATCTCAAATCGTCTTTCGAACAGATATTTTCCGAAAATTGTCGTTGGGTGATTTTTTTTAGTGGGAGAGAGATTCAGTCCGAACGTTGAGAGGATATATGTCGGGGTTAATTAGTGTACATTGTATGCTAGTGACCTCGACACTATAATAAAAAGTTCTTACTTACTTATTTACTTACTTACTTGCCTAGCTCGACGTTTGTTTCTAAAGCAACGTCATTCGGTCTAAGTGGGTATATGTTCAGTGCAATTGCCCTCTTGCCAGACAAGGCAAAATATATAATCTAAGATTTTTGCATCTTTCGTTTGAGAATCTAAAATATGAGACTCAACTTTTTAAAACGAACGACTGTAAAAGTTCCGTAACGTTTTCAGTTAAATGTTCACTTGTTTCAATAAATGCTTAAATTATCTTAAACCATTTCAAAAATATGATACCCGTCTTGCTAAAGCCAAGAGAGTATCACCATTCTCACTTATTTTATCATGACTTCTAAACTGCAAAGCTTCTAAGACGGAAAGCTTGAGTATTAACATTTTCTACATCTATCTTGGGTGTCCTGTGGGAAGCGATCCAACATGGTGGGCGGGCAAAAGAGACGAAAATAGAGAATGAGAGGACAAAAAAACCGCGGTATTTTTTTTCTTTATATTTCTTTCAGTTATTTCCATTGTCTTTAAAACATAGCTTACTTTATGGTTGCTGGTTGCAAAGAACAAGACGTACTAAGGCATTTAAAGGATTATTATTCATTCAAAACATTTCCCCAATTCTGATTGGCTAAAAGCACACGCATAATTCACCATAACCAGTTATTGATGGCCAAATTTGGAAGAATTTTGTGTTTAACGAGGAAATGACGTCAAAAATGCAGCCCGCTACAGGTTAAGGCACCGTTGCCGCGAAGACCAGGGTACGAGGTTGAGTTGTTTTGGTTGTGAAAAAAAATGGCAGACATTTTAGCGGAGCTCTCGCGCGCGAAGATCGCGCAGCGGAGCACCATGGGTAAAGAAATGTGGTAAACTACCCATCCGAAAAAAATTTGGTAATCACGTGACCGTACACCGACCGCCCGACCGTCCATCCGCACCACAGGAATACCAATGTAAAATAATTCAATCAACAGGTATGGTAACCCAAATGTAACTCAAAGTTTTATTTGGAAAAAAAATCGCATGGCCGCCAAGACTTTTAGAAAGAAAAAACAACAACAAAGTCGTGTCTTTTTGGACATTATTTGAAAGAAAGAGCAAGAGCGAGTGGTTGAAAACAAAAGAGACGAATTTTGTAGGAAGAAAAACATGATAATTCAAAGCGGCTGTGAGACAATGAGAAATGCTAGCGGCCAGCAAGGTGAAAATGAGCGGCAGTGAAAAACAAAAGCGAACATGAACACAGGAGACAAAATATTGGGTAAGCACATACGACAATTCCTCCATCAAAATAATGCGTAACTAGGAAGCTTGACGTTTTAGTCCTACAAAACAGCGTTGTAGGTGTGCAAAACAACGGCAAAGAAAGACAAAAAGCGTGCTGCACGTGCAAATTTGTTTTTTTGCTAACTAGAAAAAAAAGTGTGCTGCACGTGCAATCTGTTTTTTTGCTAATCTTGATGCCATTTTCATTGCCCTCCCCGTTTAGCATTACATGATTTAGTTTTTTTTGTCTACAAGTATTATTAACCAGAGCTCCGCTTTTAGCCCTGGCTAAATCTATATATTAGTCGTTTCAACAGTAAGAACCACAGCTGGAACTAGGCGAAACAATATCTAAAAGCATGGCAAAAACAGCAAGGAGACAACTCGGAGGGCGACATCTGCTATCTGGAGAATACTTGCGGAGGTGGACAAACCTTAACGTACACTATCGAAGATGGACTTAACATCGATACGGGTAAGTATGTTTTAGCTATGTTTTCAAACTAGGAATTTTTTTTAAATGAATAATAAAGCAATTAACAAATTCGACTTTCGTAGGATATGAAGAACTAAGCAGATTTCGGAGGGTGTTAGGCCAAGGTGGAGAACACCCTCCTCGATCTGCTTAATTCGTGATATCTTACTCAGCCTCATTCATTAATTGCCAAATAATGTTGTACGATTTAAAAGAAGAGACAGAAAAATGAGAAAAAAAGTTTAATCATTGTCGCTCTATAAAAGTTGCGTTTCTTGACTTATTTTGCCGGTTATCCTGCAATTTTCTTTCATTTTTTTTCCAGTTATCTAAAAGCCTGAAAAGCCTAAAAGCCTTTTTTTTAAAATACGAGCCATAACAACTGAATGTTCTAGGCTTTGAAGTTTTCGCTTAATGTTTTGGTTTTATTCCATCCAACCTGTTGCAGTTTTTGAAAAAACACCATTCAAAGAAGCTTCCTTAGCTAAACTTATTTTGTGTAGTAAAAACATTTCCGAGGCGCCATAAACGAAATGCCTTCGCGATAAGCAAATCTACAACGACAAAGTACTCAGAGTTAAACTGTCAAACTCTACTAAAATCTTGCGGGCAAAATGGATTTGAAATTGTGTTTTGCTTTGTTAATTCTTTGCTCCTCCTTTCTATACAGAGGACACGGTAAATCCTTCAAAGGTAAGATAATTTCGTGTGATTTTTTTTGTTCCTCCTAAAAAACTCGACATGTTTGTATGTGATCTAATCTAAAACAAGGCCGGGCTTGGTAACAGAACTGATTTGTAGAGAGCTTTTATGGATCCAGAAAGGTTCACAAAAACTCTTTTCAAGTGTGTTAATTCGATGCCGTTTAATTTTTTATTATGAACACCTCTTTATTTCTTTACTAAGGAAAGGTTTGTAAAACAAAGTAAGCTTGACTAATATTTATTGTCAACGTTGATATAATTGATCACAGATATCACTGTAGTTTAAAAAGTAAGTTATCTAAGATGACATTCGCATCAAATTTAGGACAACCACTGCAAACTGGAAATCATAAGTTGTTGAGTACTCAGGCAGGTCACCATGATAGAGCCGCTTGTATGTTCTGTTGCCCGTACGTAATTCATGTATGTGATGACATTTAGAAAACTGAATCTTTTGCATTGTTGGAGATCAAGAGCTAGAGCACATGTGCGAGCGTAAATATGTCTAATTTTGAAAGAGAATAATCCCTTGACAGTAGTCATATGGATCTATACTGGGGCAAGAAAAACAATCAAAGTTTCCATGCTAATTAGGGAGCTTAAGCAACGACTACGGCGACGGCAACAAGAACGGCGAAAAAGCAATAGGTTTAGCCGAGCAAAACAACGACAACTTTCCTTTTCTTTTCCTGGACTTGTTTGATACGGTCTTTTAGCATTCAACTCCAGAAAAATTTTGGCAACATTTGACGAACTAAACGAGATGGATCCGGAGTAACTGCGATAAAATTTTAAAAAGCCGCGCGAACTCACTTTTTAAGCGACGATTTCGAAACCGTCGCCTACGTTGTTGCTGTTATTGCCCTCCCGCTCTCTGACTCTATTGTGACGGAAACTTTCTCCCCGTGGTGCGGTGGAGAAAATGGCACTGTCAAACCCTGATCTTCCTCATGGCACTGAATCAAAAGGAGTACCTTCCCAGGGGAGTTTCGACCAATATTTGAGTATAGGAGAGCCGCTAAAGGTTTGAAAGCCTGACCCTGTTTAGGACAAAAAACTGATCCTAAAATACAAACCCTGTTTAGGACAACACCCTCAATTTTACTTCCCTGTTTAGGACAGAGGACAAATTGCACGCTGTCTCGTGTTAAAGCCGTTTATTGGCCATTGCAATAGAGCAAATTCAGGTTATAGTCATTGCTTTTGTATACTTCGAGTGCAAACAAAATTCATCTGGCAAATCTAATCAATCCAGCAGGCAATACCCTTTTCAAAGACTCATACGAAATTAAATACCCTGTTTAGGACAAAGAGGTCAAACTTACCCTGTCAGCAGCGGCACATCCCCGTATAGGCCATATAAGGGAGTACCCGGGGGTACTTTTTTCATGCTTCGGGTATATGAAATGGTAGGGATTTCACAAGTTGAAGTAAATGAAAGAGGAGGGAAATCTGTCTTTTCGGTCTGTAAAATGGCCCAGATGGCTAACAGATGAATTTTATTGTTGTGAAAAAGTCGACAATAAGTTCTGGTTTTGTGATTTAGTTATGTTTTAAAGACAATGCATTTACAGCAGTTTAAAGGGATGCGAAGTACTAAACTAGGTATGCGTGATAGGGGTACCGTTTGTCAGTAGGAGGTATACGAAAGGGGTACCTTTTCTGTCAAAAATGGTCTCGCCTCGTCTCGGGACGGGGCCTCCCAGTATGAAACTTTGCTGAGTATCCTCCCGGATCTCGTACTTCAGTTAAGTCCTCTGTTTTCGACTTGAATGAGTATAATTTATTGATTTATTGACATTGTTATATGCATGATTGCCAAACATGGTCACACGCACTGCATTTATAGGACGTCGGAAAACGAAAAGCCAGTGAGAGAACCACGTTACACGATCATGAACGTAGCTAGTAAGAAGCTAGATTTTTTACACCCTATCCCCAACTGGAAACTTTCAGTGAGAGAAAAAAAACATAGAAAAATGCTAGGTGAAAAGGACAAAAACAAAGCGTTTCAGAGCCTCTACATTTCAAACCTTTCTGGGAGGGCATTTCCTCAGCCCTCCGCCGGTATTCCAATAGGTTCTCGCGTTCGACAATCGTAGATTTTGTGTCGCTTAGGCCAGGAGTCTGGCTACTGCCCCAAAATTGAGTAGAATATGCATTGATCCTTTTAACTAACCAGAATAAATGATTTAATTTATTATGTTTTAAATTTACTTAAGTTTTTTGCCAATAATTATACGATTGAAGAAACTAATCGTGCAGAAAGTTTAAAGGATATGGTCTGCCAGGGTTTTGGGGTAGACAAAGCATAAATTGTTCCTATATTTTCTTACAGATAATAAACTTAAACCTAATGCCGTAGATCTAAAGACAAAGCTTCGCCAAAAGATTTTTCACCATCACCATCATCGTTACCATTATCGTCATCATCACAAACATTATCCGCACCATCATCGTCGCCATCATGACAACCAAAAAAAACCTCACTATCACCATCATCATCACCCTTATCATGACCATCATCGTGACCATCATCACCACCATCATCGTTACCATCATGGTCATCATCACCAACATTATCCGCACCATCATCGTCGCCACCATGACAAACAAAACAAATCTCATTGGCACCACCATCAACACCCTTATCATGACCATCATCATCACCACCATCATCACCAACATTACCACAACCCAATCAAACATTATATTCATCATTCACACCTCAACCTTCATAAGCAGCATCATCATCCACGTTATCATCCTCACAAACATCACCTCCGGGTACACCACAAGAAAACCCTGCTACATAAGCCCATTCAGAGAAATCATCAGGACCAGCCAAGAAGCCACATAAGCCAACCTCCTGGAAACGCAGCTCCCAACTCGCTCAAGGTACATGTGAAGATAAACAATGATCAAGCAGTGAAACGACAATCTCTTCCTGAATTGCTCTCAAATCTCGGACAGAATTTAATGACGCTGGGAAAGAACATGACGATCAAAACACCGGCAGCCTCTGCATCGTCCAGTGGTAATAAAATAGTTTATAGGAACTGACCACCTACCTCTCCCCTAAGTCAACATTAACACGTTCTTCTCACTTACGGCAAAATTGTGACTTAGGGGAAGGGTAGGTGGTCAGATACTCAGAAACCTCAATTGATCGTAGTTTATTATGCTTAAAGGGGCTATCTCAGTGGGATATTTCGTTGTTTTATATTCAGCTTAAAAGACCTTTTCACGGCTTTTTTCAACTTTTGACATGGATAAGTTCGGGAAAATCCGTCACCACCACTGAAAAGAGTGCCTTAAGATTAATAAAATTGGCTACTCTGAAAGTGATTTGTTAAAAAACTAACGAACATATATCTCCTCAAATTCACAATATTTTCAGGCAAGTGTATGGTGGGGGTACAAACTTGCCCCTCACCATATAAACGTCTGTAAATTTTCGCACCTTTGCAGAGCTATATCTTCGCTTGCTTTAGACAAATCGCTTTCAAATTTGGCACTTTTACTAATATTAAGGCGCTCTTTTTTTAATTTCTTTTTTATTTCGGACACACAAACAATTACAGTACATTACATTTACAATTCATTACAATTAATTCTAATTATCGTCGTAAATTTTACCTTTCATTGAAACAGGCAACTGTTATCGTTTACAGAAGGGAAAACGCACGCCAGCTCATACCGCGAAAATGTAGCCTCTGCTCGCAGGGTAGGAAAAAAATGAAATAAAAAGAAAAAGAAAGACAAAGTCCACAGAAATACTATAGTTTATATAACTTTTTATTAACAATCAAGCGAAGGCTGCCTGCCTTTTAGTCCTCGATCCCCCATCTGCCTGTTTGTCACTTGCACTTTTATTAACTATGTAGATCAAATTATTTTTTTTGAGGGGCATTGTTTGAAAGTAGGCCATTAATGCGCTCTTTCCAGTGGTGTCGAAGGATTTTTCCTGACTTGTCCATGTCAAAAGTTCCTATACTGTAATACCCTGGTTCCAGAGGTCCGTTCTCGAAATACGTAAGATGAAATAACCTTTGGAACCCAGGGTAATAGTAGAAGATATAAAACAAATTTATCATAGAGAGCACTAACCATAACATTTGGGTGATTTTTGCATGCATAGTATTAAAACCGTTGAAAACGTTTGCCCAAGCTTTCAAGTTTCAATCCGTGTTCAACCTTGCCATCTGTAGCAACATACATCAGGAAACAGTGTAATTATACTCTTGAATAAGCAAATTGTACCATCATTTTTGAAATTCAATAATTGTGAATTTTTTTTTTAGCTTTTTATAAAGATATGATCGTGACAGAGCCTCTTCAAGTTTCTTGTGAAGTAGCAGGAACAAGTCATGCCATATTTAGCATTCTACGGTGACTGCACCATCAGGAACTGGCCTCGTAACTGAGTGAAATATAAAAGTAACGAAATAAAACAGCGAGAAAGGGACATTTAAATGACACAGTATATGTGAGAAGGAGAAAAAAAACGTCCAGTAATGCTTAGCCCCCCATAAAAACTCACATTCAGACATTCAGTGTTTTGACATATTTTTTTTCTGTGTTATTTATAACTTTTATATATCAAAACGAGTAACTGAGTGGACTAACTGCAGTGACACAGTCGGTTTTTTTCCTTCTTCAGCCATGGCAGTTAATTCCGGCAAAAAAGGAGATATAACACATGGAATTCCTATGCCACAGTCTTCTTTTGATGCTGAAGGTTTATCGTCCACGGCTGCTGTAATTCCAACACATTCGCGCGCAAAGAATGTCACAGCTACCGACCTTGAGGCGCTTTTACATAAAGCTCTCGATAGAGCTAGTGGGGATGACATAAGAGGCGGAACTGCCTCTGGTGGTGGAGAAGATATGGTAGGTATATGACAGAATAAAATACAATGCAACATAATACAACTGATAAAATATACAATCCAATACCATACAATACAATACAATACAATACAATGCAATATAAAAAATACATTGCAATGCTATATAATGCAATGCAAAACAATACAAAGCAATACAGTAAAATGCAATGCAATGCTATGTAATATAATGCAATACAATACAATGCAAATGCAATGCAATGCAATATAATACAATACAACACAAAACAATACAATACGTTACAATGCAATGCAATAAAGCGCAACACAATGCAATGAAATGCTTTACAATACAATGCATTGCAATGTAAGGCACTTCAACGTCATGCAATACGATACCAAGTTTACTTTAATACATATACTAAGCTACCATGCATCACCTACCAAATCCAACTTAAACACTCAGAGAGGGATTACGCGCCAGTTACTTTTTCTATAGCCTACGTGTAGTGGCACCCTCCCCCCGACAAACGAAAAACGTTTTCCATTTGTCGCGGGGAGGGTGTGGCTACTCGTAAGCTACTTTTCCTAACGAGTCAATTTATGAAACAAAGGACCATTCGTTACTCTGACAGATTTATCAAGATTAACTTTCTGTCTCTCTTAGCTAATACAAACTAGTAATTACTGCACGTTCAAAAATACCCTATAAGATGTACGAAAAAATGAAAACCTCACTCACTCCCTCAATCACTGACTTGATCCTCTACTACGCGTCTTCTTGCGCTTAATGCCACACAAGGATATTCACATAACTTTTTTCGAATGCCTAATGCGAAGTTTCTTACAGTAGCCCATGGTTTTTTTCCCTGATAAATATAAGTAACTCGTTCTTTAATTAGACTAACAATTCTTATTTAGAAGTGTTCCTTCTTTATTATCGCTTTCCCTTCAGGAAGATGAAGATGGAGAAAAAGAGGACACTAATACGTCTTTCCCACCGAATGCCAGTGAGTCCCCCCAACATCAGCATCTTTCTTTTCATGAAAGCGCGGACAAGAGAAACGAGACATTTGTAGATTATCGTAAGATACGTAGGCTTCCGGAAAGCAGTGAACACGTTGAATCAGAAAGACAGAGCGCAAATGACGATCGCGATGATTTTACCAAAGAATTCATGCAAAGAGAAAGAAGTGCTGATAAGAATGATGTAGAAAAGAAAAGCGAACCTTTTCATGGAAACCTTTTAGAGGGTGCTGACCCTAAGAAATCGAACTTAACAGATAGCGATGATGCTTATATGGCCAACGAAACATTTGCTGAAAATATCCGTGATAATGATTTCCAAGGCGAATCTAACAAAATCAAGGCAAATCAATTGCTGTTTGATGGACCACGATCACCAGACATGAATTCAAAGTTTGAAGACACTGAAGTCAAGAATGGCGGAGAAACAGCCAACCCTGTTGTGGAAAGCTCAAAAATGACAGTTACAGGGGAAAACAAATCTAGAGAAAGAAAAAAAGAACCAGCCGAAGCACTGGGAAGCGGGGATAAGCTAGATGAGGAAACCCGATTTAGAGGAGATACGCGTAAGGATAAATCATCGGACGTTTCTGTCCTTGATGAAGATGATGGTTCGGGGGAGAACAGCGGTCAACATGTCAATGAAAATGCTCAAAGTCCTGAAAATGACCAAGAAAGATACCATAATAAAATGACAAAACAAGATGATATTATCCAGGAATCGGCAAATACGGTATCAGGAGATAAAATCGATGGAAAAACAATTGTGAATAACGCGGGGAGTTACAAGGAGGCAAGACTAAATGAAGCGCCTTTCGAAAAAGATAGGAAGGATTCATTGCAATCAGGTGAGGCAGTTGACGCTAATGCACCAAAAAGCAAGCTTGCGAACAAGGCTGACATCGATACTCCTGGAATCAACGGGGAACATTTGAACCAGGGTTATACAGCCGAACACCTCAATGAAGACTCTAGGGAAGACGTTCCCCCATCGAGGACACAGTCTGTCTCAAACGATCCTGAATCTACCATTTCAGAGAAAGACGTTGGAAAAAATTACAACGTACCGGACGAGCAGCCTAATTTTCAGGATTTCCAAAGAAACCAACTAGGCAATCCGGGACAACTTGTTATTAATGCGACAGATGAAAATTCAGGTGAAAATACCATTGTCCAAGAAACAATGGGAGAAAGTTCTAGGGCACAAGAACAAGGTCCACTGAGTGACAACACAAGTTTTATAGACGCGCCCTCTTCAACTCATAACACGAATTCAGTAGGGATGGATACAGAGGGTACACATTTGTCAGATCTCTACGGGTTGTCCTCTCGAGAAAACACCACTGTAGATGATGATTCCGATGAGATTCCAGTGTACATGTTATCGTCACCATCAAATAGCAAGGATTCGTTCAACGGAGAGGAAAGCACTGGGTCACCCATCTTTACAGCTCCGACGTCGTCCGTGTCGACTTCATCTTCATTCTCATATTCTGAACCGTCGACACTCCCACTGGTGGATGGCTCATTTTCTTCAATAGACGATCCCTCCGAGGGAGATCAATCCACTTTTCCGAGAGAAAGAAGTAAGTGGTAGAGAAAAAAAAAGGAAAAAAGGTTAACACACAATTTAGACCTTTGCCTGCGTGCAGACGTCTCCTGTTTCCTTTGTTGCACGCGGGCGGGAAAGGGTGCAACAAAGGGAATAGGAGACGTCTGCACGCAGGCAATCTAGAGCTAAGTGTGTCCTTTTTGCTATTGACACAGGAATGGTACCTGAGTCGAGCCAGGCGATTTCTTGTGTATTTTCTTACTTTTTTAAGTGACAGCTTCTATAAGTGTTTTACATTTCCACGCCTATCTGTAAACCAAACTTCTAATTGTCCCAAGACAACACCCCTAAAACAATTTAATATTACGGGCTTAAACCACCTTATGCTGATCTCGTTGTCTAAGAATGCAATTGGTAACATTTCCATTGGAGCCACGCAGTCCCTAGCCTGAATTTCAAACGTCCCTCATATACTCCCGAAAGACTAGGCGACTTGAAGGGATGTCTGAAATTCAGGCTACGCGGGAGTTGTCGTTTCGGTAAATATTTCAGAGAAAGTATCAAATTGAACACCTTTCCCTTACACTTGCCCAGACTTTCATGCAAGTATTTCACATTCATTTTATTTGTCCTCTATAGCTGGATTTCAAAAAGACATGCTTGACGACCCGGTAGAGGAGTCCTTAGACGCCGCTGTTGACACTAGAAGATCCAACGTGGCTGTTGATCATGAGACTGTTGCTGACAGTTAGATAAAAACTCGTCTCCAGAGGCTTCGTTACCCTTGTTAAGCGGAAAGGGCTGCGGACGGCAAGTGATCCTTGGTATTGACCAATCGCAGCTCTATCTGGGAACGAGGTTGTGGCTGTGTCTACACTGTACCGGATAGTAAACTGCGCTATCCATGAAAAAAGAGCGCCTTATCGAAGGGTAACCGGATAGCCGTAGCGCCGTCACGGAAACCAAATCGGATAGGGCTTCTATTGACACATGAAAACGGTGATTTTGGTACGGTTCGTGAAATGAGCGGAGCTGCGTCGCTCCGATTTTGAATGTCGATCGCTTCACGTATTGGGTAGGTGGTAATCTTTGCCACTCTCTGGCGCCGTGTGAATAGATGTTCATGTTTCATGTTGACATCTAAAGTTATCCCGTATAGTGTAGACTAACCAGAGTTAGATACGACCTCCGGGAGGGGGAGGGGGGTAATTAGGAATTTTTGGGTGGGGATGTGCCGCTGGGACCCTGGAACCCTTAGCCTATACCAGAGCTAGTTCAGTTGAATTTTGCTACCCTATACTACACTAAACTCCCCAAATCCTCCCTATCCTAGTGTAGCTTTTAGGCTGAGTTGCGTGAATTTAAACTTGCCGATTGGATTTTTTAAACGTTTTTGAGTGGAAATTCCCGGTTTCCCTAGTCTATACTGAGATCTTCAACCAACAGATCAGTTTTCTTGGAAAATGACGCCCTATTCACGACCTATATAGCCCATATGTGACAGTACCCCTCCCCCCTCGGGGATACGGTATGATATCATATTTTTTTTCTTATCCAAAAAAACTCATTTTCATGTCAAAAGTTTGTAGTTAGCCTCAGTTTGGAATAGCGAGCGATTTTGTTAGTTTTCACCATCGACCAGACCCAAAACCGCCTTTCTTTTTCGCGGCTGGACTCGAAGGTTAATGGGGAATTTGTAATCTGATTAAAGGACAATATACAATGGAACAAAACGACCACAACTATCTTAAGTAGCAAGCCAAAGAAAATTCATTGTTTATTAATCAAATTTGAGCGTAAAAATAAAACTTTTTCAGTGCGCAAAGCCGTTCAATTATTTACATTAAGAGGTCCTTTTTGCGTATGGAATGCACGTGAGGGAGTATTACAATAAGAATTTTAAATCCCGATGTTTACTATATTAAAGTTTTGAAACCGTAAATAGAAGTCGATCAAGACCTCCATGTGTGGGGCTGTCCAGACTTGGTGCCCGGCACCCAGTGCCTGGGTACTGGCACAAAATAGTGTTGTGTTCACACTTTAAGTGCCCGATATGTAACTGTGTACATAATTACTCCATTTCGCCCGGTCAGATGCCATTTTGAAACACGAGGTTAGGAGAGAGTACAAAGCAGTGGACTTCCCAAGAACTAACAAAAAATGGTGTGCACAGGGCCCTGGTAACCACTTTTGCACCCTAATTTACAAGGTCTCGGGCAGCGGCACTGTGTCCGAATTCTAGCGTGGGTACTTGAAAAAAAGGGTGTGTTCACACTGATGCGCAGCGAGTACCACACTTGGTCCGTGCACCGGTAGCAAGCGTGAACACTGCCATACGAAAAGCATCCCTGTTTTTTTTTTTTCCCGTTTCATCTATTAAGAAGTACCGTAGAATTCCGAAAATAAGTCCGGGGCTTATATTTCTCAAAGGCCCTTTTTGAGGGGCTTATATTCAGAGAGGTTTATATACGGAAGGAAATTTTCGTTTCAAAATCGGCTAGGCTTATAATGGGAGGGCAATATGCGTCTTAAAATCCATTAGGCTAGCTTATAGTTATAGTTACTGTACAGTTTTTTCTTTGATTTATGTTGAGTTTGAGGGAAAAATTACGAGCCCTCGAAGGCTTGTTTTTGGAGGGGCGATATATCGGAGGGTTTTTTGCGTTACTAGCTTGGGAGGCTTATACTTGGAGGAACTTATACATGGAGGGGCTTATTTTTGGAATTTTACGGTACTTTCGGACTCATACTTATCAGTGTTTGTCATCTTAAGTGTTTATATTTAGCCTCAGAAAACAGCAGACATTTCGTAACCCCACCACTGGTTTCCCTGTGAAATGACGTCTGAGAAACGAGCGCAGAAGTTTCATACTGATGATGCGTCAATACCCAAATTTGGGTAGTGCTTCTGATTGGCTGAAAGTTTGCTTCAACCAATCAGAAGCACCATACCCATCCAAATGTGGGTAGTGAAACGTCATCAGTATGGCATTTCTGTGCCCGTTTCTCAGACGTGATTTCGCAGGGAAACCAGTAATGGCGTCGCAGAATGTCGTCTGTTTTCTCAGACTAAGTGTTATTCCCCGCGATTGATTTTCGAAAGAAAACGGCAAATCCTCCTCAGTTTTCAAGGAAAAGAAATCCAGATTATCTATAGTTGGTACCAGCCAGATTAAGGAAGATTATTTCTCTCGGTAAACTCGAACCAGTAACATCAAACAGTACTAAAAAGAAGTAACCAATAAATAAGTATACTTCCATGGGAAAAGATGGAGGATGAGAGCATTGTCTTAAAGAACCTCTAAATTCAGTTCACTAGTAGATATCTTTATACATGTATCATAAATAGACGCAATAAAACTTGTGAGCAAAATATATTATAAATTAAAATTTGCCTAGGTACTGAGATTTCATACTATAACCTCTAATAACTTTAGAGAAGGGTTAGAAAATTGGGATAACTGACTTGAGAATCATTAAGTTTTGGTTAGCTAGGTGATTTGACAGTTATAAAATACACGCATCTCACTTTAACATTGCAGTATTTTTTGGAATATATATATTTTTTCAGAGGCATGCAAGTGATCATGATAACTAATTGAAAATGAATTAAAATTCATGACGCGCGAAGAAAACTGCGGATTATCCTTTGAAGCGTTAAAGTACTATAAATGTTGGTTTGCGAACCGCAAGGTGGAACTCCATAATGTCTTTTTCAAATGCAGTGAATGTTGTATAAACTCTTAACAAATTAGATCGAGAAAGTCTACTTACAGAACCAATGGCATTGTGGAACGAAATCTCAGTACCTACTTCCCCATTACTTTTAGTATGGGGGATATTTATAGAAAGCACTTTTATACGGTTCCTCGGTTAGATTCCCTTTGCAACATCCCTGGCAAGGAGCCAGCTGGATGCGGCCAGTATCGTAGCTACATGGTGCCTGGTACACGAAGGGCATATATGCCTTTGCAGCGGCCAGCCTTTGATTCAACCTCTGAGATGAGCCACATGAGCCTTCCTTTGCCTCTCTGCGCCATTTGAAACGTCGATTCTTGAACCAAGACTTAAGGAGAAAAGAAAAAAACAAAAAATCCCACTTACAATTGGAAGCTGGACTGTCCCTTACATGGGGTGAATATACTAAAATCATATATCATGTCCAGTTATAATTAGTGGAATATTATCCTCCGGGTGAGTAAATTGAAGTCTTGAATAGGACTGTTGTCGACAATAACTGACGTTTCGTTACGGAGTCATCTTCAGAGTCAACCGAGTTATATCACGTCAGGTGATGGTATTTCAAACTCTGGTTATTGACCTGTGATTGGTCGTCTTTCAATTAAGCCGTGATGCTATTGGCTATGACAAAGTCTGTAAAGCAGTTCTAGTATATTAGAGTTTACTATGGAAATTTCGTCGCCCCTTTTTGTGTTAGAACCAGTGTTCGATCCAGATTCTATTTATATACATCGCAAAAAGTGTTATTGAGTTTTAACAATGGCGTCATTATGATTACGCCGAAACGTCCGCTTTACAGTTTATTTCGACTATTTAACTGTGATGGCCAGGCACGACTTTGCTGGGCTCTCGATCAGAACCTTTCTCGATCCGCTTTTCCTACTATCTTACGGCCTGGAACAGTCTATAATGAGGGGAATAATTGACAGTGAGGAATTGACCTTCAGTTGGAAAATTTTAAAAGAGATGTGAACAATCTTACACTCTGCAAGCAGCGGCATAGGAGCGTTGTGCTCACTTTCATTTACAGTCTCAGAACTTTAGAAACATGAAACCCAAAAAAAGTTCAAGAAACTGCTCTCCTTTTCAAGAACAACCTTTTCTCAAAATGTCAACTGACAAATATTGATCATTAGTTCTCGGAAAGCCTTTCCATTCTAACCTCGTCTACTTCTGTTAAGATTACCTCGGTCTTTTTAAATTTAAAAAGCGTCTTTTTGTTGGTTAAAAAAAAAACATACCTGTATAGCAACTGGCTTGACACCCAATCTAGCCGCCATGGCATACCGATGCCTTGGTGCAAGGTATGGCGAAGCTGCAAAAGCTTTTTCCAACTCAGCCCTCTGAAAAATGTTAAAAAAAAGGAGGAGAAAAGTGGCAAAAGAGAGGTGGTGAGGAGGAGAGGGGGGTGGGGGGGGGGGGGGGGGGGGGGGGGGGGGGGGGGGGGGGGGGGGGGGGGGGGGGGGGGGGTGGGGGGTGTGGGGAGGGGGGGGGGGGGGGGGGGGGGGGGGGGACGCTGTGGACAAGAGAATAGCCCGTGTAGAGGGTGTTACCGTAGAAACAAAGCGTGACAGCTATGAAAAGAAAAACAATCAAAAGAACGGAAGTGATAGTGGTGGAGAAGAGGAGAATGAGAAACTCTGCTCTATTTTTAGAGAAGCCGGTCAGGGATGGTTTGATTGACTAACGCCCAAGGGATTGGCCTAATGAGACATGTCCCCAAAGGAACGTTCCACAAATGATCTAAATATATTTAAAATCCTGTGCCACCTAACGTACTTAATTAATCTCTTGTACACTGACTATTTATTATAGAAACGGCCGTCAGTGTTATATCATTTCTTCAAGTATAATGTTCTCCATATGAGAAAGCGTTCGTGCAATTTGTGTTAGCTTCATCAGTTATTATTGAAACTCAAAAACTTACATCAGGAAACCGCTACCTTAGGGGGCAACATCCCCCCTCGATTTACGCAAATACCCACCAGTTCCAAGCGCCTGTGGCAAACACTGCAGTATCAGTCACGTACAAATTGAATTAATTGTCCCCGGCACGTGCATCAAACGCATACTGAATTAATTTTTTTTTCCTTTGAGGACGATTTGAACTGAACGACCATAAAATGGAATGAAAAAATTATCTATACATCGTACTGAAATTAGCTGTCTATTTGTCTATAGAAAATGGTGGTATCAAACTCAGAGCTCTTCCTTTTTCTCCATATATTCATTAAAAGTTGCTTTTAACAGAAGAGAGACTACAGTCGAACCTCTACTAAGACTTCTAACGGCTACTTCTCCACAACGACCACCTGTTTACAACAGCCACTTTTTTAGCGGACAGTCTATACATTGACTCTCGTTTAGTCCTCTCCAGAACGTCCACTTTCTTCTGTCCCCAAGGTGGCCGTTGTTGAGGGGTTCAACTGTATTGATGTAGGTCAGCGGTACTCATCTTTCAGTGGGTAGGAAACTCATGTATGGGGAATTATACTGTACCGAACTAAAGGAGTTCTTCCTTTTTCTCTATTCTTTGAAAAATGTTTTTAACAGAAGAGGGACCATATTCTTTTATATTTAAAAGGAAGAGAAGAAAGAAGGCATAACTCTTCGAGGCGGTGATGTGCTTTGTTTTCTTTGCAGGCACCATCAAAATCGCACAGCTTTTCCGGTGGAATAGCGAAATAAAAAAAATAATCTTTGCGCAAAGGAACTTAATAAAATAATAACGCTGCAATTCATAGTATCTTTAAGGTGTTTTTCCAAAAGGAATTTCATTAGAAATCGTAAAGTTAACTTAAGAAAGTTTACACTTAAGAATTTCGAAGTACAATAATTGAATTTTATGTTTGGCATGATAAACTGAAAACAAACTCATTCATTTACTTGTCAGATTACGGTTAAGCGGTTACAAAACGGAACACCATGATTCTAACTAGCGGTGGCTTAATAGACAGAGAGAATAATCGTTCTATGTGATATTGTTCTTTGCAAACATTATTCCAGGAAGGACTGTGCGCGTTGCGGTATATTGACTCGCTTACCTTAACACCATCAAAATGCCGGAGCCACAACTTGAATTTGTTAAAGTAGCGAAAAGCAACGTCAAAAACAAATTCACGAGAATTCAATAACATCCTGATTGAATCAAAACTAGAGCGGGAAACAGCGAATGAAATCGTTATTTAGTTACTTTTTTTTCGCCAAGGAATTGTCGTCTATTCTCAGTCAAGTCGTCGAATACCAGTTTCCTTATCTTCATAGCTCTATATAAGCTCCTTAACGAGCCTTATGTTTCATTGGTTGAAAAAAATAAGAGATGGCACTTGATCTAAACTAAATTGAACTAAATTCTTGGTTCGACTAACGGCCGGAGCAGGCGATCCACTCCGTCAACAAACGGTAACCATCCATGTCTATGTGGAAAAAATCCTTCAAAAATTTCGTGAAGAACCACCTGTCACAAAGTAACGCATCAATTTAGTATTAAGTGCGTGCTGAGAGTGGCGGTGTGTTTAGCGCCTTTCAAGTTTATCCAGTTTTTAAAATATCTGACTCATTTTGAGCTGAATGTTCAACCAGCGGAACTGGACCGTAGAAAGAAACGGAAACATTCAAATCGCGACGCGCTTTAGGCTGTTTAGGTTGTACTCAGAACGATTTTTTTCCGTACAAGTTCTTGCCGATAAATGCAGATCTCCTCTCGTTCAGGGCAAGAATCACAGTCGAGTTAACGATAAAAAAAAATGATAGAAAAATGACTCACTCTAGTTCTTTGCAAGATAATCCAATTTTTAAAAGTTTTGACTCATTTCGAGCAGAATGTTAAATTCAACCGGCGGAAAATCATTAGAAGGAACTCGAAATAACATTGAAATCGCGTGGCCAGCTAGAACGATTCCTTTTATTCGTACAAATTCTTGCCGAAAAATTCAGATGTCCTCTCGTTCAATAAGATCGCAGGTTGAGTTGACAATAAAAATATAGAAACAATTGGCTCCTGCTTTTTTGTTTTATATTTCAAAAGAAAAATCCAGTGGTAACAAAGACAATTCATACAAATCAAGGAACAACAATTTGACTGATCTTGGTTAAAAGAAAGAAAATGATTAAAACACAAATAAGATAACTTAAGTGATGGATAGCTTTATTAAGCAACGATGCTTTGGAACTTTCAATTTTTTCTCTGGGAAAAGAAGGTTGCACTGATTTTTTAAAACGCCCTAACTTTCTAAAACACCTTCGGCCTTCTTTCTTGTGATGGTCGTTTACCCTTTCGAAACTTTGATTCATTTACGGCCAATTTGATAAAAAGTTCGCAGTTCTAAAAACTGTAAAACATTCTAATCTATCAGCTTAAAATGTACGAAAGTCATCGCATTAAACTAAGCTTAAATGTTTACTTACTTGTTTCTTTTTGCTCTGGCTGCGAATTGGCTTCTGACTCGTCATCTGAAGAGATTGTTTCTTCTTTTATTGCAAATGGAAGGGCAACTTCTGCCAAACTCTGATTCCATTCTGGCTCCTCGGGAATTTGATCCATTTTAGTGGCTGTAAAGAAATAAACAAAATTACGAGCTGCGAGGCAACTGCTGAACTTTTACTTTTAAAAGGGAAACTCTAATTAAATCTTACTTTTAGCTCTTCTGTTAGTTTCATTTCTAATTGGTTGGTTAGTTGTTAACTTATACCCTTTGGACGAATAGGATTGGATTGGCTCAGTTTGAAGTACGAAGTACTACCTTTTTTGGCAAAGAAGGGATTATTGTATGTAATCAATGCATGAGTTATTGTTTTGAATACATGACGTACTATATCGCCTATCCTACAATTTCCGATAAGTGACTGTGACGATAGAAAAATTTAAGTCAAAAAATCTTTCTAAACGTTGCAGCTTTTTTACGAGGAAATTATCTTTGCACTCAGTGCATATAATTTAAAAGTTTTAAAATATAGTCGTTTCAACTCCAGGCTTTATATCAATCGATTAAAAAAAATTGCTGATCGCCGCCTGACAAGATCCCGCTGAAAGCGCCTATTCTAATAATAAGTATCAAAATAAGTATCGTAATAAATATCATATTAAGCATCAACGTTCATAGACTAATTTTTTTTGCCAGAAAAGTTTCTTTTTAATCGCAGCGTATAGCTTATATTAATCACAACCTGCATAACGTTGTACATCAAATAAGAAAGAAAGGAGAAGGTGCCTTTCGCAATTCGAGTCATGGCAAACGTCCTAGTTTCTCCAGCCTCCGTTTTTGAACACCTTCTATGCCCTGGCTAAGGAGATGATCAGCCGGAGCAGAGATCCAGAAATTATATAAAATCAGTTCTCGAGTTGCAACATTTAAGGAAGTACAAAACATCTTTACATGCTTAATTAGGAGTTTGCCTTTTCAATTCATGGTCATATTTCGAGGCTGAAATTCTAACAGGCTTCTACAATCCAAAACAATATCGCAAGAAAAACGAACCGAAATAGTTTTAATTCAAAAACCAACAGCTTATCGTATGCTCGTGAAAATGAATGGAGCCGCAGTAACGAAAAGAATACATGCTTGCGCTTAATTTTTTCTTTCTTTCAAATCCTTTGTTCACCTATTAGTTGTTAAGACTTGACTATACTTAGTGGATTTATTGTCAGGTAAAATTTCAACCTTCTTTTTCGTCCTTTCAAATACCACCAACATATATAGAAAACGCTTACAAAACACGAAAACCGATTAAGAGAACAGAAAATATAAATACAATTTCTCTCTAAATAAGCAGATAAACGTAAAATATTTTTCCCACGACAATCGGGACTTATTCTTTCTTGACAAAAAGAAAAAAAATAGCTGACTCGAGCAGTTTAACGTCGGGTTCAAAAGTTTGTTCTGTTTGTTAAATGTTGCCCGAGGATTCCTTAGGCAGCAGCAGGATGAAATCACTGCATCATGGTCAGCAAAAACCGATTTAGATAGGAGCACAAAACATTTATTTCTCAAAAAAATGTCATTGACTATAAAAAAAACTGATTCGGAAAGAGTAAAAACTATTCTCATCGCAATCAAGAGAAATCTTTTAAATTTGTGATGTTCAAGACGACTATCTTGTCCAAGACTATCAGTTATACTGATTTTTAAAACGCCCATCGATCTTTAGAAAGCCTGTTGCGCTCATTTTAGTCGCTTGGCGCTAAAAGCGTCCTCTTTTCCATTTCCCATAACTTTTTGACGCCTGGTTAAAATCGCGCAGTTTCGAGAAATATAACTGCAATTTTTAAACCTTTTCTGACCCAGCAAATTTGAGCTGGAAAGTAACATCAAACGTTTGAATGCCTCCTTACTTGTTTCTGTTTTCTGTGGTGGCTGTG